GCCCACCTCCAACCGCCCAGCACAGCGCCCGGGGCCATCCACCAACCGCAGCTGAAGGGCTCTTGCAGGGACACTGAGGTGACGACAGCCCCATGAACCCCCCCCACCTAGGGTAGCATCACCCCACCCCGCTGCACGCTCACCCTCGCACTCGACGGCGGCCACCCGATCCGTGGAGCAGGACGGTGCGTGCCCCGGCTGGAGGATGCAATGCTCCAGGGCCGGCTCCTGCCCGGTGCACTGCACCTGCTGCAGCACCGCTGGGGAAGCGCCAGCTGCCGCAGGGCTGCAGGGCACTGGGACGAGGCGCGGACGACCGCAGCCCAGCTGGCGGCACAGCACCCGGGCGGCCGCCAGGTCCCAGCCCTCGGCGCAGACGGAGCCCCAGGTGCCGGCAAAGAGGAGCTCCAGGCGCCCGGTGCAGCGCGAGCGGCTGGCCCACAGCCGGGCTGGCACCGCTGCGGGGAGGGAAGGTGTATGGCACCAGTATGACAAGCACAGTCCCAGTCTGGCCAGCCCAGCCCCAGTATGCCCAGCACGGCTCCAGTCTGCCCAGTACAGCCCCAGTCTGCCCAACACAGCCTCAGTCTGCCCAACCCATCTCCAGTCTGCCCAGTACAATCCCACTCTACCCAGCAAAGCCCCAGTCTGCCCAGCACGGCCCCAGACTGTCCAGGACAAGCGCCAGTCTGCACAGCACAAGCTCAGTGTGCCCAACCCATCTCCAGTCTGCCCAGTACAATCCCACTCTACCCAGCAAAGCCCCAGTCTGCCCAACACGGTCCCAGTCTGTCCAGCATGGCCCCAGTCTGTCCAGGACAAGCCCCAGTCTGCCCAGCACAAGCTCAGTCTGCCCAGTACAGCCCCAGTCTGCCCAGTACAAGCCCTCGTACACCTGGCCCATGCCCCCGTGCCTGCCACACCCTGTGGCCGCTGACCCCACGGCCCCCGAGCGTCACCAGGGGACACCCAGGTGTCACCAGGGCACACCAGGGGACACCCAACGTACCAGATCCGGCCGCGATGCTGCAGCACAGAGCTGGGGGGAGAGAGGGAACGGCTGAGAGTGGGGACCCAGCCCTCACCCCACGGACACCCCATACTCCCCATTGACCCCCAACACACACCCATGGACACCCCCCC